GGCCGGGGTAAGTTACAGTAAGTTACAGTGTAACTTACATGTAAATTACATTGTCAGTTATGGTTTAACAACCCTACTTACCACCCACTAACAACCCAACATAATTCGGCCCGAAGCTATGGAACAATTTTTAAGTGGTTAAGAATTTTCCGCAGATTCCGTAAATAGATTTTAAGCACAGGACCATGGGGTTTTTTTTTTTTTTGACGTTTTTAGTATATTAACGATAACGCTAACTTCTTTGTAACCGCTCACACGAAAATATGTTTAAGTATATCTTTATCATTTGACCTTTGTCATTTGAATTATAACATTAATACGTATGCATTTATCTCTTGGGCAGGATTTGGTTTCGGCCTCAAAGTGCGCAGCCGCAGCATAAAATAACCAATCGATGACAAGCCGTAACTAGATTCGAAGTGTGTTTATTAACGTTAAGATATGATTATCGTTCATCCAATAATACCGATACTACTAAACCTAAACCTTCTGGATTTGGTTTCGGCTTCGGTAATATTTCACAAACTAGTTTCGGCTATATGTGAGTGTTGAAATTATGGATGATTTACGGCAAACGGTGGCTACTGCACTCCAAAATGACATATTGCGAAATTATTTTCGTATGTCGAAATTATTAACTGTCGAACTGTCAAAAATATTAGAGACTGTCGAAATGATTTATGGCAGTCATTAGGATCGTGAAATGCAAATTCAGAAATAATCCGAAAGAAAATGAACGAACACACAAAAGACTAGCAAGAGACATTCGATGATTGGCTGATGTATACTGATTTATATAACTTTTTGATAACGTAACGTTTCCCTAATAAAAAATACAATCTTTTTTTTACCGTTATCTTCGCAAAGAGCGTTAATATTCACAGTATAAAATAATAGAGAAAAGATTGGGAATCTAAAGAACTTCGCTTGGAAAACAAAATATACCTACCGTTTGTTGGATCATATCAAATTATACTGTAATTAGAACCGTTTTTGTCTAAAGCTATTTTATTACGTTAAATTTTTATTTCGGTTTAATTTGAATAGGCACAAGATCTTTAGATCGGGGTTAATGTTTAAATTTGGTCGGTTCTTGTAATGTGTTTGGGTTTGTCAATTATAAAAGTTCTTTAATGAGTTTGGATTTATTAATAATAAATATAACATTTACTTTAAATATATATGATAAATTCTATCTGATATGAAATTAAATTTGTCGCGATAAAATTTTAAAAATTATGAAATTTGATTGGTTAATTATCACGGGAAATCAAATATTTTCGGGCATACTAAATTATATATATTTGCGATTTTTGACTGTTAAAAAATTATTTAAATTTACGCCAAGAGCAAAATATTTTCGACACCCATGAGTAGTTTCGGCTTCGGTTCCTTTAATAATTCACAACCTTCCACAACGCAGTCTCAAGATCCCGCTAGTACTAAACCACTATGGTCTATTAGTTCGTCTGGGACCTCAGATCCGTTTAAAACGGCTACTACGGGAGGCGGATTTTTTGGAAACCCTCCTCCTACAACTACAGCAACTTTTGGATTTGGTCAAACGAGACCTACAAATGTTTCTTTTAATGCCACTTCACAGTCTCAAACATTTGGTTTTCCTCAGTCAACGACCCAGCAACAAACGACTGCTGTCCCTACCGGGTTTACTTTTGGTCAAGCAGCGGCCCAACAACCAACAACCGCCGCTTCTAGCGGGTTTACTTTAGGTCAGTCTGCGTCTCAGCAACCAACAACAACTACTCCCACCGGATTTACTTTAGGTCAGTCTGCGTCCCAGCAACCAACAACAACTGCCTCTACCGGGTTTACTTTAGGTTCTAGTAAAACGGAAACTTCGTCCAATTTTGGCTTATTTGGGGCTAACACTACGTCAAATTCTAGTTTTAGCGGCTTTGGTTTAGGTGGTTTAGGTGCGAAGACAACTCAAGGACAGAGTACATCTTCAGGATTATTTTCAGCGATCGGATTTAACAGTCAAACTATTGCTACTACTACTGCTGCTACTACTACTTCTGCTACTACTAGTGATGCTCCAAAGACAACATCATCGGGCATATCTCCTTTTGGTACGACTACAACTACTCCGAGTGGATCAAGTCTCTTTCCAAAAATGGGTACTTCATTGACTTCATCTACCAAGCCGGGATTGTTTTCGTCATCTGTTTCAACCCCTACTGTTCCTACTGTTCCTTCCAGTGGATTATTTAGTCAAAAACCGGGTGCTTCATTAACTTCATCCACCAAGCCGGGATTGTTTTCGTCAACTGTTTCAGCCCCTACTGTTCCTACTGGTGGATTATTTAATCAAAAACCGGGTGCTTCATTAACTTCATCCACCAAGCCGGGATTGTTTCCGTCATCTGGTTCAACCCCTACTGTTCCTACTGGTGGATTATTTAATAAGGATACAACTGCAACTACAACTTCTTCGTTACTTCCTTCTACAGCCTGTAAGCATAATTTGCTTATAATTTCACTCATTATCACATTTTATTCTAACTTAATTAATTGCATAAATATTTATTAGCAATATCAAGGACTTTACCTACTTTTACAAAACCATCAATACAGCAACCTGTTCCAGTAACGTCTTCTGCACCAGGGAGCTCTGCATCAATAATCACAACACAAGCTTCAACATCATCGTCATTATCATTTTCGGCACCAAGCCTATTGCAGCCTAAGACAACCAGTGCTACGCAAGTCAAAACAACTGTGCCAATACTTTCGGCAACATTATCAACACCTGCGATTTCTGCCGCACCTATTGTGAAACCAGTTTTGTCGTCAACTACAGTACCAACGACCACAACTAGTGCATCTGATCAAATACCATCATGGTTGAAAAATAATAATATTGAAGGTATAATTAAAAAATGGACAACAGACTTGGATAATTGCACTAAAAGGTTTCACAATCAGGTTAGAGAAGTTAATCAATGGGATCAAAAAATTATTGAAAATAATGGCAGGGTTAGTTATTTTTTTTTTTAGTAACACTATTATATTATAAATATTAGTCACTATATTCATTTAAACCTGAATGCTTTTTAGGTAACCA